CCCCCCCTTTTTTCTGACTCCCCCCAACTCACCCCTAGCTCCCAGCTGCACTACCCCTCAGGACAGGGCATGAAGGGAGGAGAGGAGGGAAAGGGAGCCCCACAGCAACAGGGCAGCTGGGCAAGGGGGGGTAGCGCACAATCATGAACTGCACAACCCCCAGGCTGCCAGTCGGACACGTCTCGGGGGGCCGCACTGCTCCTCCAGGTTGGGCGACACGTGGCCCCTCAAGCAGCATTCCCCAGGTGCCCCCCAGGGAACAGAGACCCCAAGGGCCTGAGACCAGGCCGGGCTCAGGACCCCCTACCCGGACACCCTAGCTCAGAGGCCAGACACCAGCCCGCCCAATCTCAGCAGCCCCCCAACATGCACCCATTCAAAGCGTCCCCCCACCAGCAGCCAATCAGAGGAAGGGGCACGACCCTCCCCCCCAAAACAAGCCAATGGGAGAAAGGGGCGCGAGGTCCCTGACCAATCAGAGGGCGCAGCCCCTGCCCCGCAAGCCCCAGGGTCCCCCAAGAGCAAGCGAGGCGCCAGGGCCCCCGCCCCAACCACTGTGCGGGGGGAGGCAGGGTGCGGGCTGCGCCGCGGGCGCCGAGTGGAGGGAAGGCGACAGCGCCCGGGGAAGGGGACGTGGGTCCAGGGGGGCGCGGGCCGCGCTGGGCGCGAGGCGCCCGCAGAGCTGGGGGCAGTAAGATGGCTCCGCCACCCCCAGCCAAGGAGGTGCCGGGGTCCGGACTATACCATCCGGGCGGGGGGGGACACAGGCGGGGGCAGCCCCTTCTCCCCCTGTCCGGGGCGGGTGGGGGATCCCGCGCCGGGCGGGGAGGGGGGAGCGGACTGTACCTCTCCCGCGGGGCGGGGGGGGAACGAGTGCGCCAACTCCCCCCCACCCGCGGGAGCGAACGGTTTGTCCCGGCCCCAGCGCTAAGGAGCCGCCGGCCCCAGGCGCCATCTTGGGTGCGACTAAAACAACGAGCCCGAAACCCCCGGCTGGTCCCTGCGGTGCCCCCGCGCCGGGCTTCCCCCCCGGGCCGTCCCATCGCGTTACCTGAGGGGGTCCCGTGCGGGAGCCGCGCCCCGGCCGCCGCCGCAGGCCCCGTGGCGGCCCCAAACCCCCCACCTGTCCTCACCTCACAATGGTAGCTGCAGAGCGGGAGGGGGGGCGGCCGCCCGGCCTCATTACCATAATCTGCCTGGCAACAACCACCAGTGCCGCGCGCTGATTGGCCAAGGCGCTCCCCGCCTGTGGGGATGGGGCACAGGAACCCCCAGGGGAGAAAAGCCGCCGAGCAGCCGGGTGGGGGGAGCAGAGGGGCCCCCCAATACACGGGCAAAGGGGAGCCCCCTGCCAGGGCTTCCACCCCCCGGGGCACTGCCCGCCAATCCCAGCGCCGCTCTCATTCCAGTGCCCCCCGCGTGCCAATCACAGCACGCGTGTCATCGCCGCGCTCCGCCCCCCTGCTGGGGGTGCGGGGGTGGGCGCCGAGCAGCGCCCCCTGCTGGGAGGGCCGTGGGGGGAGCAGCGCCCCCTGCTGGAGGAGCCGGGCCGAGCAGCGCCCCCTGCAGGCGGGAGGGGGTAGCGCACTGGCGGGCACGTGCCGCAGAGGAGGAGTCCAGGAGTGTGGCTCCCCGCCCCGAGCCCAGACCAGGATGGGGCCAGCTCTGCATCCTCCAGGTAACGCCGTGCCGTGTCCGGGGCTGGCATCCCCATGCCCTCTGGCTGCAACCCCCCTGCTCCCAGAGCCCCTGTGACGGGGCAGGTGCCGCAACCCGCCAGGCGTCCCCCACGTTCAGGGATGCCCCGGGTCACGGAGGGAAGGGCTAGATGCCACCTCTGCCCTTCCCCATGTGATGGGGAGGGAGGAGAAATCTGATTTATAATCTAATGCCACGTTTTTGAGGACAGGGTGCTGGTTGTCTTTTCTTCTGTGGCCGATTTGGGCAATGGGTTTCTGTTTGAAAATAAGGCAATATATCCAAGTGAATGTACAGTTCCTTTTTTAAATTTTTTTTGTAGGCAATCGGGACTCGTAGTAGAGATGGTATCTTTTATATTAGAACAACAGGATTTTTGCAAAAAAAAAATTCTTTAATTGTAAGCTTTCCAGCTTGTAGAGTATTTCAGTAGAGCATTTTAGTAGGAGGAAAGAAAATGCTTGACAGGTGTTTATAACCACAGAAAATACAAAATTGCTCACCTGCAACCCTTTTTACTGATGGCTTTAGCTGCAAATAGCAGAGGGTTTATTTTTTTCTTGTTATTGCTTATCAACACTTTCCCAAGATTCTTTAGAAAAGAGCATTTCCAGGTGGGGACAAGGCAAGCAGTCCAGTTGGTTTCTTTAAAGAATGATTTAGAATTGCTATTGGATAAAGTAAAAACTGTAAAAAGCTATTGGGGATCATTTCAATACACAGGACAGTGCCTTCAGTGAGGGATGCTGCTATCCAGCTCTCGAAGGACAGGCTGATACTCCTGCACCATTTTTCTTTATTCGCTGCTGCATTTAGTCATGTGTTATATAATAAATCTGAATGTTAAATGCCATCTAAAATAAATCAAAGAGAATAATGAGCTTTGCTCAGAAAAAAGATCTAACCATTTGTCATTTGATTCTGTCTTGGGTTTCCACTCTACTTATTTCTCACTCTTTAAAAAAAAAAAAAAAAAAAAAAC